TGCAGTTTTCTGCCAGTTCAGAAATACAGCCAAAATAGCCCTTTCCCTTCTATTTACAGATGGAGCCTCGAAACCGATCTTCCTTGCGGCAGATACAGCATCCACTCACTTACATTTGCTCAGATTCAATAAAATCTGAATCCGGCTGAGTTAAAGTTGGTTCGAAGCATATTCTTGGTTTCAAGCCATACAAATGGCACGCATGCCTAGGCTTAGGCCCCTGCTCATGGGATTTCGGAGGTATCAGACTACAGATCCCTGGAGCTGAGACTGAAATCAATACCCAGTACTTGTGAGAGATGTAATGGATTCAATCTGACCAAGAATTTAATTGCATTTTTCATTATGATACAGCCTTTTCTATGTCTGGATGCCTTTGTGTTTAGAAAGAGGATTTTGGAGTGTTACAGAGAGGTTTGCTGAATCTTCCCAGTGATCCTGATCTTGCTCAGGACACCGCACAGCGGGCTCTGGCAGGTGGGCGGTTGGAGGTGTGGGGTCTCTGGACTCCCAGAGGAGAAGCAGCCACATCACCTTTGGGATCTACCATCAGGACCTGATTTCAGGACATGCTGGCAGTAGTTCTTTTTTCCCTGCAGTCTCGTTGTGGCATGGCATGAATGGAAAGATGTGGAAAAAAATGTGTATGGTGAAGAAAAGGGAGTCTGGAGAAGTTTGTGTTTGTCAGTTCGTTTTCTCTCAGGATATTATGTATGTCCAAGGGATCCTATGGCATTTATAAAGGATATTTTGAGAGCTGAGAAAGAAGGAATGGTTCCTCTGGTCTTGCCATTGCACTTGTGAAGAGCTGCTTCTTCACCTGATGGGTCACACTCTGCTTCATGGCACTTACACCACTTAATACGCCAGGGTCCACTTCAGCTCAGGAGGGCAGTTAATGATAAAAATGGAAGCCATGATAAAAATGGAACAACTCTCATCTTTTCTCTGCTGAGTCCTTCAGGATTTGGCCAGGATCTCTCCAGGGCACTCATTTCATGAGCATCCCAGAGAAGGCAACTGATCAGAAACCCCAAGAGGAACCCCCCTAAAACAGCATGTGCTTGGATCCCATAACCAACACCTATTTTTCTAGAAAACTCAAAGCCATGACTGCAAAGAAAGCCAGCTATCAGACTTTCTTTTTAAGCAGCTTTAGATCAGGAGGGAAAGAAACAGCATCATCCCATTACAAATGGAGTCTATTTTCTCTGGGGGAAAAAAAAAAGAAATCACTTTTATTTCAAAAAGTGCTGTTCCGCCAATACTGCTCCTGTTCACAAAGAGGAGCTGTCACACAATTCAAGCTAAAATTGGCATCGCACTAAAAACTCAGTATCAGGACTTGAATGAAACCGATCTGGAAGCACTCACAGTATTACACTTCCACATGCAGTTTTCCAACTCCTGATGTCTGCACAGCATCGATCCCTCCAAGGAGTTTGTTGTCTTCTTCTGTGGCAGGGGCAGATGGAGGAGTGAAGAGAAGAGGAAGCATGGGGCAGGTTTGGGGTGGTTTTGGGGTGGTTTTGGGGTAGCACAGGCAGCTGGCAGGCTGCAGGGCAGCAGGCACACAGCTCAGCTGTGCTGTGCCCAGGGCACTGTGTCGCCATCCATCAGCACCCTGCAGGGAGGGAGCAGAGGTCTCTGAGTTACTGAAATGAAGAAGTTATTCCATGGCAGTGGGATTCAGGAAGGGAGCTTCCCTTCTACTCAGCTACCTGAGTTTGTGGAGGACTTGAAGGTTGTTTTTTTCCACATTGGGAAAAAAATATTATAATTAATATATTATAATTCATGATTGAAATCTACATATCTGTGCTGCCTTTATAGGGTGCTGTCAGCAGCAAGCAGCGTTCAGGGGACAGTGTGTCCTGCCCAACAGATGCCCCCGTTCTGCTCCGTGCTCCTGGTGGCCGCAGCGCGGGCTGCTGGAGCTGCAGGCACCACGCAGGGTTTGCCCATAGGGATGCTGATCCCAGTGTAATTCATCCTGTGCCATCAAACCAGGTTCCTCACAGGTGGTGGTGCCTGGGGACACTGTGCAGAATGTGCTCCCACTGCGAGCATCCTGCAGCCCCTCAGGGACACACTTCTTTTTGACTTTTTGGGCTCACAAAACTCAGGTACCACATTGTCACAGAGCAAATTAAGCTGTGATCTCTCCCTCCCCGAGCCCTACATTGCCAGCTGTTTTCAATCCATGTTTTTTTTGCTAGCAGTTCCACGCGATATTGCTGTCATTAACACTGCTCACCGGTTTATAAACACGAGCGTTTATTTATCAAACTCAAGTATCTGCTTTGGGCTTCAAACCAACCCCAGGGTTTTGTCTGATCCTGCCAGGCTGTGCTGGGGGCTGCCCCACTTCGCACAGACCAGGGCTGGGCTGCAAATGTGCTGTCACCTGTTGGTGCTATTCCTTCTCGATGTACTTTAGGGGTTTCCTGTTGATGTTTTGTACTTGCAAATGGCAAAAAAGAAAGGCAGACTTTGAAAGAGCTTTTAAAGACAGCATGAGTAGGATTTGATAGCCTCATTCATATTATTCCCCCTCAAAATCCCATTGTCTGCCTCAAACATACTCGATGTCTAGTCCCTCAGGTGCAGGTGAATACCCATCAAGGCTGGTTGTGTGGTCATGCAAGTGTCAGAAAAGGAAGAAAATTCCCTCAAGAGCCGTGCCAGCGCTGGCTTACACCCCAAGCACGACATTTGATTATCCTGCATTTTAGCGCTGGCTGCAGTTCCAGATGTATGCAATGCCACGCCACTAGGCTCTTCCTAAGTATGACTTTCAGAAAAGATTTACAGTAAATCCACCAGGACGAAATAAGCAGTTAGTTATGTCAGCTCTTTAATCCAGCTACAGTAACCAACACCAGGAAAACTGTCTTTAAATGCTGCTGCCTCCCTACAGGCAGGCAGTGAGAGCCACGGCTCTGGCTGGGACAGCAGGACAGACAGACCAATGCTGCAGTCTGCATTAATGCAATTTAAAGCAGATAAACATAAAAAAAAATAGGTGTGGAAAAGAGTAAATCATCAGAATTTGGAGCGTGTTGGGAGAAAAGAATTTGTGGGCATCCTTTCCTGTCTGCAGGATTGCACTGAAGTGCATGATAAGCCAGCTAATAATCCTCGTGGTAGCACAGATCATTTCCTCCACCACTGTCTCGTGGTGTCAGCACCAGGCAGCCTGGATGCACCTGAGAGCATCTGCTGACTCCTGGATGACCTCGTGCATTCACGGCTGCCCAGCGGCTTAATGCAGTGCTACTGGCCGGAAAATTAACAGGCCAGTGTGTGCGCCCAGCTGGGAGTCCCTCAGTGGGGACTTCTCACCTTTAATGTGGCACTGGCGTGAAGCACGACCTGACACACAGCCGCAGAAAGGTCTCCAAGACAGCCCAGACGTGCAGGTGCTGGAAACTGAGACAACTGAGACATTACCTTCAGCATGATGCCATCTGCCAGGAGGTTTTGGAGCTGAGGACAGGGGTGCGTTTGCCACCAGTGTGCTGTATCGCTTTCTAAGAAATCCCATCCCTCTGCGCTCTCATTCAGCGTAAGGAGCCTGTTCGGTCTCCTGCTGCTGTTTATTCTATTTGTATTGACTGCAATAACACTCTGGCTGGACCTTGAGAGGGGCTCTGTGATGATGCAGGAATTAATCAGCCCCAGACAGCCCCCAGAATGGCACCGCAACTTGTGGGTGCAGTGGGCAGCAGCAAGCCGCCCATGCCAGGGCTGTCCCAGAGCTCAGCTCATACCAGGGTTTTGTCCCTGCTGTGTCTGAACATTTCCCTCACAGGAGGAGCCTGGCAGCAAAGTATCTATCCTTGTATCAACCAGATTTTGGCTTTTGAGTAGCTCCCTTTTCTGTGTTTACCTGCTCCCAGGAGTGCTACGGGGCTGGGCGCACCCTGAGCACCCTGCCCATAGGCCGGGCATGAGCGGTCTCTGCATCTCCAGGGCTGTGCACTCAGCAAAATATATTACCTGTAATAATGTGCCTCGTATATACAGCTGCCTTTCTGGGTATATTTTGAAATGTTTAATGATGTGTGCCTGAAATGTAGTGATATCTTCCTAATGGAATGCAAGGCGGAGGAGAGCTCACGCACACCAAGACATCTTATCTGTATCGGCAATTAAGAACCTAGAAATTAAAACAAAGTATAAAACCAAAGCTTTTTAGTTAAAGCCATGGGATTTGAGCCTGCAATTCCAGTCCAGTCAGGTTTTCATAAGGCTTTGTTGTAGTGAAATCCAGATGTTAGGCAACTCTACCTATTAGATATTCGGTTCTTGTAGGCCGTGGGCTTCTCAGTGTTTTTGTGTCCCTCAGCTGTCTCAAAGTGCATGTATTCATATAATTATATTGCTATAGATTTTTCTCTCAAGTCTGCGGTCCTGTTTTAAATTAAAATAGTCAAATGCCAATTGTTCGAGTTACCAAAAGCCATTGTACAGACTAGTCTGGACACGGCACTAACATTTGTTCCAGGATCTTAACCTCAGCAGTTCACCTGCATCGTGACTCCAGTCCCTGTGGAGTGTCTAAATCAACCTCACTAATGCTCCTAATCAATTTGACAGCCAATTAATGAGTTCAACCACTATCGCCAATGCTATACCATAAAGAAATCCATGGCTTTAGGTGACAAATGACACAAGACTGCACGTTCTCCAAGAAATATACAAGCTAGATAAAAAGTCTAAACCTAACTCGGTCAGTTATGATGTTTGCTTTGAGAAAAAAAAAACAAAACAAAACAAAAAAAAAAAACAACAAAACAAAACAAAAAAAAAAAAAAAAAAAAAAAAAACAGAAAACCTGGATTGCATTAGATTATCCAGCCTGCCAGGCCATGCAAATATATCTATATATCTAGATGTCTAGATATATAGATATATATAATGCTGCTCTTTGATTTTGCCAAATTACCTTACTGGATTTCCCTCGTTTTAAGAAAAAAGAATCCAAAGGCCAAAAGTAATCCAGTCTCATCAATTTATTTTTTAACACAGAGCTCTCCTGATAACCCTTGGCATATTGCTCTTACATGGTCAGAACAAGTGAAAAGAAAGACTTCCAGCTTCTGGCGAAGTTAAACCTCTTCCATTGCTCTTCAATACAGTGATAAATTGCTTCTCAATAAGAAGTTCACAGCCTGCCTCCACTAGGCAGAAGTATTATTTACATTCTTCCTCAGAGAACTTTAAATTAAAATCATTAACCACCTTACATGATTTAAGCCGCAAAGAAAACAATGTATGATTAAAAGTAGGTCACAGGAAAGTGACTGTAAAATTGAAATATAAATGAGCAATTTCAGACGACTACCCTCATCCCGCCATGCTTTGTGGTGCGTATTTCACCCTCCCCCAAAGTTTTAATAAAGGCATTGTACTGTCAGCACTTAGTAAATATTAAAATAATAATATATGCCATAATTACTTTCCAGACATTACCAACGTGTTCCGATCTGCATGGGGCTTGGTTCTCAAATTACACCAAAACCTTGAAGAGGAGAAAAATGGTTTCCTGTTCCTGCACCGCTGCTGCCGGAGCCGGGTCAGCACAGGCCTGGGTGCCGAGGCCCGTCCTTGTCCTCAGCCCAGGGGGCAGATCCAGACATGGATTGAGCAGTTGGAGTAGGCTTCATTTCGGCTGTTCTGTGCTCCCTGGGGCCTGGAAGAGAGGAGATTATACTTACAGAGAGACGTTAATGCTGTCCCTCCCAGCTCAGAAGCACACCTCGCAGTGTTCTGGGCATGGATTACCTGGTTGGAAAGGCCGTGTGTCCCAGCTGGGCCTACAGCAAGCAGCTGCACAGATCTGTCAGGGTTTGTTTTTAGTCACAGAAATGTGTGTTATAATGTCATAAATGCACAGAAACGTGTGTTATAAACGGGATGGCCCAGCGTTTTGGCTCCACCTGTGCCAGCTGCAGGCTGCGTCCCTCGGCTTTCCTTTTCCTGTTTACTTGGGACAGAGCCATTGCTGTCACAGTGTGCTGCAGGGGCAGGGCAGAGCTGAGCTCGGGAGCAGGGATTTTGGAGGAGATAAGCAGTCGGAAGAGGGAGGAGGGCTTGCAGCACCGCTGTTTGTCAGGGCCCATCACCACAGACACACGGACCGGTGATTAATTGGGCAACTGGGGCATATCAGGCAGTTTCCTGACTTCTCATTTGTGTCCTGTTATCACGCGGAAGCTTTCGGAGAAGGAAACTAAAGGTAAGAGAAGAGACGCTGAAGCCCTTAGTCAACAGGAAAAGGCTTCCAGTGTCAGGGCTGCTGCGGACCCCAGGGTCAGCATCCTCTGGGCGAGCGTGTGCCGCGCTGCTGCGCACAGCTGGAGCCACAGACACCTTGGAACGATACCAAAAAGCCCAGCACGAGCAAGTCCTGCAGGAAGGTGTTAGCGGAATAACGTTCTGTAATGCCAAAGGGGTCAAGAAAAGCATTTCTTCTGATTTCTTTTTTTAGGTTACGTATTATTCCCACACCATTGCCTTAGATGCTTGAGATGGAAATGGAAGGATATTTAGATTGAGTAGTTTGGGCTAGAACTAGAGGTAAATGAAAACACAGGTTCTTGTTGTACATCCCCGTTGCATCAGGCATCTGCAGATGGGGCCTCAGAGCAGCACCACTGCTGCCAGGGCAAGGGGCAGTGAGCACGGGGGCTTCCTGCAAGCCCCCAAGCAGCACTTTGGGCAGCACTTTGGGAGACAGGAACCAGGCTGGAAGAGGAACACGAACAGACCCCTCCTGGGTGAGAAGGCACCAAAAAGGTCTTCAGCATATGGGGTTGTTGGGGTTCTCTCTCATAGGCAGAATTCCTCCTCGGGGCAGTCCTGGCACCACGGCGGTGTCACTCTGTGCCTCTTCTGGTACGCGGGTCTGGGAGCACAGCTAAAGAAATGCATCGCCATTCCAGCTCACCTTTGCAAAGCAGTTTGCTTTTTAATTTTGCCAACTTTATCTTACATTCAGTATCTAATGCAGGACAACCCCATTTTTAAAAAGACTTAAAAAGAAATGTGTGTGTGCTGATATGACAAATGTAATAAAACAATAGTTCTAATGGGAAGAAAAGCCAACACATTTGCAATTTTCTTTCCCACAATATGCAGTAATTCAGCAATCCCATCATGAGATAAGAATTACTTTGAGAATAATTTTCTTTTAATAGCTCTGTCTGAAACAAGGCAAATTTCTTTCCTAGTCATTACAGCTTCTGGCCTGCAGTAAATGGCTGGAGACTGAGGAAGAATTTAAAGGAAGAATTTAAAGGAAGCATCCTGCCATCACATACACAAACAATGCATACCATGACCATTTCTTCAGCAGATTTAAAACAGCATTCCCCATCCTTGGCCATGATGCTACTTATGCACCACCTATTTAAACAAAGACTTGGAAACATTAATGCACTGAAAGATTCACTAATTAATTTCACTGATTTACGGAGCATGGGAGCATGGGCTGAAGCAAGCGATAACACTGATAGCAATAGCAAAAATATTTATTTACAGAGACAGAAAACCACACATGGCCAATAGAGCCAAGGATTTATGACTGTGGGGTATCTGGTGTGACATCTGATGCATATCTTAACAAGAATGAATGCCAAAAAAACAACACAGACTATTCCATCCAAAGCTACTCCAGTGTTACAATCCAGGGCCACAGTCCCCAGTCCTTGCAGGCGGCAGGAACCAGCTGGAGGACCCAGAGAGGCTCTAAGTAACAACTGCTTGTTTCAAACAGGGATCCCGAATGAGATGTGAGATCTCACTAGCTGTGTTTGACCTCAGGGCTTCCAACGGCAGCTTCTTCAGTTTCAAGTTTCTGTACCTGTCACACCTAATATAAGCTTTCATTCTTTAAGTGCCCACAGATCCTTAGCCCTTTTCAGTGCGAGAGATTGCTTTGGAAATGTGTACCAAGCTGCTGGTGTGAAGTTCAGCTCAGAAGCTTTTCCAAAATCCATGAGTTATTTAGTGCCTACCTGCAGAGCTGGCTGGGACCATCTCTGTCCCACTTTGTCCCAGAAAACCACACATGTTGTGACCACCTGCCATGACTCTGTGAGCTCCTCTCTGTATCCATATCACAGGAATATGATGCATAACCAGAAATACCTGCAATCAGCCCCAGCCGTTCTCCACACTCAGACTAAATTTTGCAGTCCTTGATCTGGAAAAAAAGGGCAGCATAACCAAGCCAGCAGCAAAAATTCCCTCGGTTATCCCCAGGTCTGCACGGCTCGGTGACTGTGCACAGGTCCTGATGCACACCCAGTGATGGGGTGGGTCACAATGCCAGGTGACACATGCAATTAATTGAGCTTAATGCTTAACAGGAACAGCACAGGAGTCTCAGCTTATCCAATCGTCATTTATCAAGTTCCTCTCTCTCTTCTGCTCCGAAGTGAAAATTGGTTTCATTGCATCATCTAATTGTGATGGATATTTTTAGATCTGCAATTTATCATATGGAACTTGTATCTAATGAGACCACTGTTGTTCTTCCCAATACAACAGAAGGACAAGAGCATCAAACTTTCCCAGACACTGCTGGCACAATGAATGAGACCAAAGGACTCCTTCCCTACGGAAATGAATAATTTTAATACAGTTGATTTTTCTTTTTTGTTTGTTTCTTTTTCTTAGTACAAAGATTTACAGCTTTTATTTTGGCATTCAGCAGAGATTCACAATCCAGTTTTCAGCTGTGATCACCAACTAAACTGGATTAAAGCCTGAGAGCGTTACTCCTCTTTGAAGACAGAAGGGGAGCCATCCTTCTGTGCACAATACTTTTGATCCTAATCTTTGAAAACTTCAAGCACAAAATACCCCATTATCATGCAGAAATTATAACTGGGGCATAGAAGGGAGCTGAGCATTTATATCATAATGTAAAAAAATAATGTAAATAATCAACATTTCTTGATCTAAGGCCACACAACTTCCTTAGAGTTTGTGATAAAAGGAAAGAAACTGTGACTGTGTTTAAAGAGTCCAAGCCAGCCCCAGCTCTGCAGGACGCTGGTCTCAAGGTGCCACCAGCCTTCTTCCAGGGCACTGGGCAAGGAAACGAGGGGGCAGACTGCATGGGACATGTGATGGTTTCTTTACTTGGTGTCAAACCAGATCATTGTGTCTTCTGTGATCTAATAAAGAATAACACAGGCATTTTCAAAGTAAAGCCAATGCCTGTGCTGGAAGAACACATTTTATTTCCCATGAGCAGCCGTTAGAAGCAAAAATCCTTGCAGTGGCTGGTTCCCACTTCACTAATTCAACAACAAGCCACAGAAGACAAAATTCACGTCAGAAGTTTGCCTGGGACCCAGAAAACGGAGGGAGCTCTCATGGAGGGCTCAGGTTTTCTGGAGGGAGAGTAACGAAGGCATTACACCACTGCCTAATGCTTCCCCTCCACATCACTCCAAACCAAACGCCAGGCTGTGGCGGGTCAAACTTTTGGGGCTGTACCACCTCCAAAACGAGTCCAAGCAATCCTTGTGGCAGCAAGCAGCAGGGGCATTCATTCATGTGCCCCATACCCCAGAGCTTCGTCCATGCACACGGGAACATGTTCAGTGTATACAGCTAAAGCAAAGCAATTCATTAAAAAACACAAAAAAGCCCAACCACTGTGCTGAATTTAATAGCCACAGTATCTCTTGGACGTGGATACAAGAAAACCATTGGATTAATTTACTGATGAATCACAAAAACAAATCTGTATGATATTTCAGAAAACAGAAGACTTTCTTAATTTAAATTAGGATCATTCATTTTCCTGAGGACCATGGGAAGAATGCTTCAGAAAAGCAGAGCACCCACATCCGTTATCTCTAACTAGGGCTGCAGTTACTCAGCAGTCCTACAAACCAGGGCATATATTTATTTCTCACTTTAATTGCTGTTTTAGTTTCTGCGTTATTGATGATCAGCACAAAGTGTCCAAATATGCCTCCAGAAAAACATATTCCCTTTAATTGAAGAGCTTAGAAGTTAGCGTTCAACCTGCCCGTTCAGAAATGCGTTTGCAACACTTGCGGGATAACATTGCTTAGTACCCCAGCTGAAATACATGTTTTTATGGCCAGGCTTGAACTGACATCCCGGTTTAACAAAACTTCCTGAGAATCAATAATAATTGACAGAATTTGCATCTGTCACAGCTGGTACAATACCAAATTCTCCCTCGATCTGTTAACCCTCCTGCATGCCCGAAAGCCCTGCTCATGGCTAAGCCACAACGCTTTTGGCACTGCTCGGTGACTGAGCACAACATCGGTTACCATCAGCTCTGCTACCAGTAAAGGACCACCCCCATTCCCCCAGTGAGCACCTCAAAAACATTTCTGGCAGCAGTGCTCGCTGTCCCGGCTGTGTCCCGTGAGCTGAGGGCTTCTCTGATGCATCAGTTGGAGCATCGGCTCCCCAGGGGCACCTGAGGAATCGGCTCCGTGGGGCAGAGCAGGGACCCAGCTCTGGATTCATGCTGGGCTGAAGGAGGGGGGCTCATCGTGCACCCCGCCTCGGCTCTCACCCCGCTGCTGCTCCCTGGCCTGGCATGCACTAAATCAGTTCCCAGAGCATAATCTGTGAGGATAAGCAGTGTCATTGCTGTCCAGCTCCCAATGTCTTTTGAAAACCTTCATCTTATATTCAAGCAGTAAATAACCCAAAGCGCACTAACCTGAGGCTCCAACCTGTTTTCTGGTTAAAGCTCCAGATACATTTTTTATGGAAATCAATAAATACACCGCCCGCTGGGATCAGTGGCCGAAAGCTGGAGGAGGACAACGTGGGCAGGCACTAAACAGTCACTCAGCAGTTTGCTAAAGATTTTTTGCTCTCGCAAGGAGAACAAAGCCGCTGCAGAGGCAAGCTGCAAGCTCCCCCCGGGCTCTGGCGGATATTTCATGCAATATCTGAAGGCTATCTAACAAAATGACTGAGCTCTGAAAC